CACTTTGTGATCTTTTTATCTAGAAAGGTGCTATATAAATGAAATTTTACTTACTTACATTCTCCATCGACACAAACAATCCCAGCAAAGAAGTACAGACACACACAATATCAGTAAAATGTCAGAACTCGGGTATTAAAAACATGTCATTCCAATGATTAAATTCTCATTCGACTTTTTTAATTATATTTTTATTAAACTAATGTTTGATTATATTTTGATTAAATTTAAGCAGCTTAAGTATTAGCAAAATCACACACAGAAACCCTCCATAGCACTCACTTTAATCATAAAAGGGTGGCTTTTAAGACCTTTTACATCTTAAGTCGGGGAGACATTTTCTTTTAATCTCATCTCTTGAAACGTAACTTTGTGATCAAATGTTGTATGACAACACTGGTACTTTTGTTCTGGATAAAAAGGTTAGCTTGTAGTACTGTGGTGATTTCAGAGTGAAGCCCTGTGTTGGTTTGGGGCTCATGGTAAGTGTCAGATTACATCAAGATTAATTTGCATTTAAGCTGATGATGGTAAATTAACTGAATTGCACCTTTAAACCAGCTGTATACAGAAAACTTGAGCTCACAACAGAAATGATTATGAGTCATGATCTTTTTATCTATGTTGAGCTACTTGGGTTTTAGGGTTCCCCCATGTGCCGGATATTTTATTAATTAATTAATTTAAATTTATTAATTTAATTTAAGTCACCGTCTACGATGTAATCAACAGAAAATGGTTATTTTTTTCAAATTCTGTTTTACTGCTTGTGTCCTACATAATAGATTCAAGCGTACGAGTACATTAATTAGAATTAGAATTTCAATTTGCATAACATTTGCATTCTTATGTACTAATATTATTTTATTATAATATTAATATAGCACAAGGCTGAGCTACCCTTGCATAAAAACAGCTGGTAGTAAAACCGTCCTTCAAGGAGCAAAGAGCAAACTTACTTTGAGTACAATTCAGAGCCTGTGCTTTTTTTACTTTTACCTGTTTAGGACATTATCACAATTAAGATTTTATTTATTTATTTATTTTTTAATCCACTGATTAGCCTTATTTCTGTTGGACTCTGATCATATACTTCCATGATATTTGATCACATTTATTTAAAAAAAAAAAAAAAGGAAAGAAGCAGCATGGCATCCGGGGCAAAAGCTTCTCGATAAATTCCTTTACAGCTGCCATCTCCTGAGGACAGGAGCTGTGAGGGAGCCCTGGGAAGGTTTTAAAGGTAATCATTTGAGGGTTGACTATGGATTTGAGTTTTTCTGCCGTCATGGCACCAAACTGCACAGGCGTCCATCTCACTGTGGCACTGCAGGATTGGGAGGTTCTTATTGCCACTTGACGCCGATGGGAAACTCCTGTGAAGTGGAAGCCAGCAGCTGAGGGCCACAACACCAGCCAACTGGTGCTGGCAGGTCAAGGCGGTATACAAGGACAAGGCCCCACCCTGAGAGAAACCGCCAAGTATTATACGGTTTGGAGGGATCCCATTTCTGGCCTCGTGCTCGATTATGGCCTTGATGTTTTCTGCTGCCTTCTTGATTCCAGATTCGTCCTCTGGAGAGTCGGGGCTGAGACCCATGAGGTCAAACCACACGGGCATCATCAATTTTTAAGATTTTTAATCTTAAAAATTTCAGTTCTTTGGACTTCTGTACAACGGCTAAGCTGAAGATAAAACATCATTTTCTCTTAGGCTTCCCTGTGGCTCTGTGTCATTGAAACCTCTTCAGTACAGCGACACACTGGCGCCATCTCCTAAAAGTGCTGCACATACAGCATCGTCTCAGAGCTCCTTCTTCAGCGCATACACACGTCGGGAGAAAGAGATGTGAACAATTTGGAATTTCTGAATTTATGACTAAAAATGTGGTCGATCTTCAAAAAGTATAAACAAACTCAATCTGACTAAACTAATGCAAACATTGAAACTGTTCAGATCTTTATTGAAAACAG